AGAAATGTTGGAAATCGTTTCATCTTAACTCAACAATTTATGAATACTCCTTTTTCATATAATGTGCATTTTGGAAACATCAGTACACTAAAACCATAACAGTTCTGTGAAAGGCAAACTGAGAGGGTTTCATGGTTGAAAGTGTCTCAGATTCAAGCTGTATTATTTTCAACCGTAAGGTTTTTATGCCACATTATTCAAAACAGAAAACAGCATGTTTATAATGATTAATGTTTGAAAGTAATGTTGGAGTACCTCAGAGTTCCACACTGGGTTCACTGCGTTTTAGTTTGTAATTAGTTTAATGGAGTTAACAACTTACATGCATAAAACAAGTGGCAGATTGAAAACACAAACAGGAAGGACACATTTGTTTAGTTTTTAATTTTAGATCGCTTTGCAGAACAGATTTAAAATTGCCAACACACTACCAGTTGTTCACTTAAGGAACTGAATATAGCTTAGAAAATATGTCAGCATCACCGGTGTTTTCCCCTGGCAATGTCCTGGTTCAGGTTTCCTGCAGTTTCTAAAACATCAAAAGTCACCAGTTGTGACAGAAATGTTTTCTACAGGACAGTGGACTTCAAAAGATTTCAGGCACGACAGTTAACGGACAGGTGGAGATACTGCTCATCATCCCTTTGTCATATTTCCCCGTTAAATTGTGCCATGAATAACGCTGAAACTCCAAAAATCTGAACTGCTTCCTGACAACACAATAAGTAATACAGATAGTATTTAACTGTTAATATTCATCCCATAATTATGAAGTTGGTCACTGCTGCTTGTTTAGGTCAGAATGCATGAAAAAAGCTGTAATGTTGTGTAGTAAGGAGAACCTAAAAGCTAGAGAAAGCAAGCGACTGGCTGCAAAGAAAGAGTGCTTGAGTTCAGTGAAATAAAGCCCAAAAACATACAAAAGTCCAAACAGAGGCAGCAGGGGGAAAATAACACGACAACACAGGAAGCACAAATGGGACTGACAGACGGCAAACTAGGAATGAATATAGAGAAGAAGACAAAGAAGATATGGCAGGCACAAAATGAACAGGGAGGAATAACGAACAGGGAGACTGATAGCTGGGACAACCGAGTTTTGGAGGGTGGATGGCAATAAATGGACCAAGGAAGAATAGATTATTAAACCAAAATAGCAAATCAGGACCAAATGCAAGACATGGAGTACCAAACGAACACGACAAAACCACACAATGAACACAAGTTCCTTTTTCTGTTGAAACATAAAAAGGGAAAGAAAAAAAAACATTCCAGCAGGGAATACAATTCAGGTTGATTGTAATCCTGTGAACCATCTAACCATCCAACATAGAGTGGAAGTGGCCTGAAGGTCACAAGATCTGATAAGAAAGCTTGGGAGGATCTACCATCAGGGGCCCAAAGGATGGCACAGAGACATACGCAACAAAAGGGAGTGATGCTGAGGTTGCAATTGGGCCAATTGGGTCATTTTGAACCGTCTAATGAAACACAGCGGCCTGGACAGGTGACCAAGCCTCAATTCTCTCTCAGATTTAAACAGGTACTCGACTCCATCTGTGAGCTGAAAAGACAGATTGTCCTTTAACCCCAAACACTACAGAAGTTGGCACATAAGGAGCCGGTCCCCAATCCCCTTGGAGAGCACATGGAGTTAAAGAGACAGCGCACATATAAGAAGTTCAAACAGGAGCAATTAGTACAGGTAATGAGTGGAAGATAGGAGGATTTCAGGCTGTGAAAGCCAGAATCCTTACAGGTTGGTAGATGACCAAAATGTTATCCACAGGTGCTTAAATATTTAGTTACATCTGTGTTTCTGGTTTTTGTCATTTCTTTATTGTTTATTTAATTAAATTCATACTTACTGAGTGTTACCTAATTGGCTTATTATTATTTTAGGCATTCAGATTTATATTTAAGGTTTCAGATGTGTGGTTTTCCTTCAGTTTATCTTTCACCTGCACTCAGGTTGTCCATCAGTTTTACATCATCTCATCCCTCAGCTGCTTCTACTTTCCTCTGATTAGCTCCACTGGTTTTCTTTATTACTTCCACTTCTCTCATTATTTAAACTCTCTGGTTTGCTTTTTCCCCAAACGGTTCCTTCTGTGACAGCTTCTGTAATTTGTTGTAATTTCCTCATTTTTATCTTGCAGTGGTTCGACAATAACCAATGGGTTATTTATTTATTATTTACTAAACATTTCATCATGAACTTCCCAAATTATTTTCTGGAATTTGGTCCAATTTTCCATACACGACAGCAAATCAATTTCTTAAAAAATCATACAATTTGATTTAATGGACTTAAAATAAATAGATTCTGTCTCTCGCAGTTGAAGCGAAAACTACAGACCACTTCATTCTTTGGGAATGAGGAAACATGAAATATTGAGAGTTATTTCCCCCCACTGTTTCAAATAATCCACTACTTAGATGCCGTATCTAAACCTTTAAATAAAAGCTGAAGTAAAGCTGTTTTTGTTGCATTTGCTTCCCCTTGTAGGAACTATATTCTGCAGAAACCTCGGCTTTGCTCACTTTTTCAAGTTGCAAACCCACTGACCTATTCTAAAGATTGGCTCAAGTAAACTGTGAATGACCCCAAAATGAAATCTTTTTCACTTGTCTGCACAACGACAATGATTGAAGCTGGTGTAGGCTGAAAAAGGGAACAAGTGGGGCAAGAAAAACACATTTTATTTCACATCAACGGCAGCATAACGGTCCTGAGACCATTATGTACTGATTCTTACTGCAGCAGTCAAATGTGACTATTGCTCTTCAGGACAAGCAAATTATCTGCCTGTGAAACAGATTGCATTCAGCAACACAAACTGCTGCAATTGCTACGGGAGGCTACATTAGACCTGTGACCATGAGAACAAAAAGCCCCTTTGGATGTTGACCTTTACTGTCCCCACTGTTTCTGTCTGATTTGACGCAGAAATGTGTTGCATTATATGACATGGCCATACAGCAGCCTAAGCATAGGGAAGAGTTTGTTCAAGTTTCAACAAGAATAGCCATTGAAGCACCAAATGATGAAAAAAAAGTAATTTTTTCATCTGTACAAAGCCTTCATTTAATTAGCTGTTTTAATGAAGTGTAGTTCGGTTTCAGAATTACCATTTTACATGGTGCCAATTTCAAGAATGTGCTCTGCTGCTTTCTCTCATTAGACGGTAAGTAAAGACACCAAATGTTAAATTATTCACGTCACGTCACGTCACTGATTGTTTGTGCTGTTTACATGCAGTCTTTCAAAACAAACCTCTTGAACTTTTTCATATTTTCCTCATGACTATCGCAAGCTGTCTGGGGTTTTAGGTGATGGATCATTTGCATGTTTGTGGAGGTAGAAAAACCTGAAAATGTTCAACATTTTTAATGAATACATATTTATAAACTGTGGCATGTGTCAATCTTTGATAAAGTAAAAAACATTTGAGCTATGTCTGCACCGTCTTATCTGGAAAAAAAAAATTCTTACCCACTTAAGTAGCTTAAGATTTTTTAGACGATCATGCAATAGAGTCTTATTTGGATTTACCTCTGGACTTTGACTACACCGTCCTAACCCGTCTTTAACATGGTTTCTTCAAGTATAGACCAGTACAAGCATCATTCAGTAACCTCTGACCAGCTCCCCTGTCTCTGTTACAGAAAGGTAACCCATATCTCTATGTCACAGTGGCAGTGGTGTGTTCAGGTCGCCATTTTAATTTTTTCACCACATACTGCATTTTACCTGTTGTGTCAGTCTTCAAATGGGGCTTCTCATGGCCTTCATTCAACTATTATTTCTTTTTTTCCACCACTCTTTCATGAATGCAGATAAAACGTTGTTTGATGGGATTTTACGTCTTAACCCTGCTTTGAACTTCTCCTCTACTTCCTCTCTGACCAGTCGACTGTGTTCCTCAGCCTTCGTGATGCAGTTTGTTCACTAATGTTCTTTTACAAACCCCTGAGGCCTTCCCAGAACAGCTGGATTTAAATTGGAATAAAATGACACACAGTTGGACTCTGAAAGCAACCGGTCATGCTCAATTTTACTTAGATGTATCAGAAAAATGGCGCCCGAGTAGCTTTTTAAGCAATATTTGCAGATTTTATTTGTAATATATATATATATATATATATATATATATATATATATATATATATATATATATATAAAACTTTTCTTCTGCTAGGAGGTCGTTCACTATTTAATGTTGGCAATCATATAAAATCCCAATAAAATGCATTTTGTGGCTGCAAGAGGACAGAAAATGAAAAATGTCTGGGTTGTGAATAGTCTTGGAAGCCACTGCATAAAAAAATCCTCTCCTGCTGTTCTGGGTATTAGGTTTTTTTTTTCTTCTTCCAGATAGACATTTTAATTATTTTATCTGAAGCAAAGGAATAAACAATGTTGCCTGCTATTTCTCTCCTTTGTGTGAAATTCCCCAGTGATTCTGGCTAAGTAAAATTCATGAAGATATTGATGGCAGTGCGCTGTAGTTGAGTTTGGGGAGTAAGAACACATACTGCCTGTCGCTGCTACGGAGTCCAAAAAGAAAAAAGGAAAAAACAAACAAACATAGACTTAATGTCTTTCTAATGTTTCAAAGCAACATGAACAGGCTGATGGTTCAGCCTGTTCATGTTGCATTGCAGCCACATGTATGTTTTCTCCATGTTTATGTCAAACAAAGAGGCGTCTGTACATGTGTGAAGGAAGCTGTGATGTTTCGGAATCATTAAAAAGTGCAGAATTTCACCCGCCAATAAAGAAATTGACTGACAGACAACCAACAGCTCTGTCCTCTTCCACAGTCAACTTAACCCTCCTTTTATCTCCTTTCATCCATCACATCTGTCTTCCTGTCAGTTTTATTATCTCTCTGTCTCTGTCCTCCAACACCTCCACCTCCCACCTGCAACCTCCTCTCTTTCTCTCCCTCTCTGCCCTTTCTATCCCTCATTCCCTGCCTCCCTCCCTCCCTTTTCATCTCTCGTCCTCCTCCTGCTGTGCTGTCTCCTCTCGCTCCCATTCCCCCTCCAGCTCTCACACTCATGCAGCATCCTTCCCTCACCTCTTCTACCTTCACACTCACCTCCTCGAGCCTCCGTCTGCCCGCCGCCCTCCTCTCCATCACCTAACACACATCATTTCTCGCCTCTTCCTCGAGTCTCGTCTCTGCCTCCTCCTCCTACTCTTCCTCCTCCTTCTCCTCCTCCATCTCCCGCTGGTTTTCCCTCCTTCTCACAACACTCTGCACCCACTATCCACACACTCATGCTCATTGGCACCCAAGGACAGAACAGCTTCTCGTCTGAACCGGCGATGGTTTGATCCTTTTGGCCAGACTTCTTGACACTGAGCTCAGCTGAGGAAGAGGACAAGGACAGAAAGAAGGCATGGAGCACAGCCACATCTTCCCTGTGTCCCACCACAATGGAAGCACCGGGGGATGCCCTCTCGGACCCCTGCCTGTTATCTACTACAGCGTCCTGCTCTGTCTCGGCCTGCCTGGTAAGAAAGTCTGCGTTGCTGCCTGCATCGCTGCTCTCTCCCAGAGTTACGCTTTGCATTGCGATTTGTTGTGCACTTGTTTGCGGGACTGAGTAAGACTGCTGTGCACCGCTGCACACACACGCTTGTTGATTTGTCACTCTGACCTTGTGGCTTGTCATGCATGCATATGCTTTATGTGTATTTGTTTCTACTTGTGCCTGTCATTCTATCTTTAGAGACTTAAAACATCACAATAAGCACAAAATTCCACCACTACTGTCTTTTTTTTTTTTTTTTTGAACGTCAGATGAGGTGTAAGTAGGTGCAAGCAGATGCTTGAGAAGTTGTGTGAGTAATCTTACTGGCTTGACCTCCAGGACAGGTGTGTGCTGCACGGCTTTTTCTTCAGGGAGCCGATTTGATAACACATCTGTCCTCCCTGTTGAATGATTAGTCCATTCACCATCGCTGTCAGACTCATTTACTGCCTCTGTCCCACTGCGTGATCCATGAGCAATGACTCGCTCTCACACGGGGAGGCAAAACGACGTCTGTGCATGTGCGAAACAGAGACACGGGGACTCTGACGGAAAAAAATTAGAGGTCAGACTAAAGATTAAATTTACTGATGTCTGAATGGAGGTCAGGGTTTCGATGTCAAAAACCTACCAATATACACATCCAGTTTACTTAGAGACACCAAGACATTAGAAATTTATGATTAAACAAAACTAATTTCCTGAGTGCTTACTGATATTTACTTCTCTTGCTGCTAGGAGAAACTTATGCTTATTTTATTGGGAATGTATGTGATCAACCAACACAAAGTGAAAATGAAATTGTTGCATGTTTTTAAGTATTTGTGTGGTTACATTTACTCTAACACCAGATCAGTGCAATCAACGTGCGTGGGTAGAATGGAAAGATTATGGCAAAGCTAACCTGTCAAGACTAAATTAACAACAGAAGAGGTCTATGGTGCCTCTGGAGGAGCTGCATAGATCTACAGCACAGCAGGGAGAATTTATCAACACGACAACCATTGATTGTGCACTCTACACACCTGGCTATTATCTAAGAGGAGCAGGAAGGAAAACATTGTTGAAGGAAAACTGTAAGAAGCCAAAGAGAAAATGTGTCAGACCCAAATAAAACTTTCTGACCTACATGCAAAACCCTCAAAAAACTCACCCAACTAATCACCAGGCATAGACCACCCCCCATATTTAAAACATGGTGGTGGGAGCATCTTGCTTTGGGGAGGCGTTACTTCAGCAGGGGCTGATTGGAGTTGATGGGAGGATGGATGTAGCTGGAGGGAAATTACAAATGCATGCCAAAGTTATGAACCAGTTATTACCAATAAACAGCTGTTGGTTTCATGCATAAAATCCCAGTGAAATTTATTGCAGTTTCTTGTTATAATAAGAGAAAAGTCAAACATTTCAAGGAGTTTGATTACTTCTGCAACTTACCCAGTATTTACAATTTTACTCAGCGAGTTTTGATGTCTCTCTCAACCAGTTGCTGCAGATTAGCAAATCTCCCTCAGATCTGATTGCTTTCCCTTGATAAAGATTGAAAATGAGACGCTATCACGAGCGTAAGCCGTTTCGGTCGGAAATAAATCTGCAATGAAAAGTCCAGCGCTTTTGTGAGCCAAGACTGCAGTTGCCCCAGAGATTAGCTGTCTTGTAAAAATAAGTCTTTCTTTCTGATCAAATCCTGGCTAATTATTTAAGTCAGGGGCCAGCAATTTGCCTCACTGTCATTTCTTTTGATTCTGCTGCCGGGTTGCCTTTAGAAATGCAACTAAGGCTGTTTATTTAATCACCTAGTAAGAGTAACCAGGGGAGAGCGAGGGAGTACAACAATAAGGTGCCTGAATTGATGGCTAAGTTAAGTGCAGCAAGCTGATATTTTGCAGCAGCGACTTGTTCAATCATTATGACACAGCTCATTCCACTCAAGCTGAATCATGAATGTTTCATGGGAGCAGCGTGCGCGAGAAGCAGCCGCATGACCTACAAACACACATGCAATAAAGCCTCTTTATTGACAGGAAACTATGATTCAGGTTTTTCATCAGCTAACTGGGGTCCCTTATGCATCCAAACACTGACTCAGAGCTGCATGTTGCGGTGCAGGCAGGGGTCACATCAGAAGTGGAGATTTGAGGTAAGAAGGCGCTGAGAGAGGGATAATGCATGTCAAGTCATGGAACAAAATAAATCAGTTCGACCAGTTCGAGGAAATCATAAAGTAGGAAATGCTGAAAATTAAAGGCCGGAAAAGGAAGGGAAGAAAAGGGCACAGAGAAGAAGAACATTGGTGTTAGAAGAGGGATCAGAGCGCTAATGGGCAGAGCGATGTAGCAGAAGTAGCACCTCAGAGCACTGAGAGCGGCTGAGATGACAGAGCTGAAACTAATTGCCGCGTTTTTAATTAATTGCTAACTTGAGCTTTCTGTTTGTGTCTCCACACGCCACACCACGCTACTGGAGACGGTGGAGACATGTGCAGGCAGGGCGAGCGGCGTAGTGAAGCTGTCGCTAACAGGTTGCGATTGTAGATGTGAGGGCCTGCTCCTTGGATTGTACGCCGTGTCTTAAAGCGCCGTGCGCGCCGTGCGCAGGAGGAAACCATTAGCTGATGAGCAACTCTACGGGACACGGAAAGAGTGTGATGAAGTTCCAGTCTCTCTTTGTGGTTCGACATTTCTGCACACAGTGTGCTTCTGGAAATTTTATCGCCAAACTCGTTTAAAAAAGGGAAATAAATAAATGAAGAATGTGCCAGGCTGTTTCAGCAATAATAACTCCCTCAACATTTATTAACACCCCTGGTAGAGATGAGTGATGTACAAAATACATTGATCTTTTTTTTTTTTTTTTGTCAAAGTGGCACAATGAAAAATGTAACTGAAACTTTTTGTAATTTATAATGTTACTTTTTATGGGAATTGTAACATTTTCAGCTGTAAAATTATTCTAGGAGCTAAAATATGAGGACAATGTAAGAGCATCATTCAAAAATAGATTTTTAGCTCTTTTGCTCTCATTCTTTGTAGAAGTAGCAGAGGGACTGTCACACCATGTGTGAGAGGCTAACATTTACTAATGTTTTAGCTTTCCTTTACCATCTTACGTTAGCGCTGTTAGCATCGCTAAACAGCAGGCTCCACATCTAGTCCTTTACCTGAACACTAAGATGTTCAAATGGTTGAAAAGCTAATTAAACTGCTACTTCTCTGCCTTCCTATTACTGGATATCCTTTGAGACGTGCAAACTGTCCACAGATGGTTGAAATTTCATATTCAAGCATATCAGATGTACGGATTTGTTGTGCAGAACTCCAGATTTGCATCAAGAAGATTCAGTTTCCTTTTGAATAGCTTGTTACATCTTTTGACTTTGTCTGACTTCATTTGAAACACCGTAATGATAATTAAGCCAGTCGTGACATGCGGTAGTGCGTTCTGTCTGTGTCAGAATGGACCCAGACCAGGTTCAAATATTAATTGAGACGTTGCTGCACTGACTAATTAAGATACAGGCTAAGCAACACATGCTGTTTGTCTCCCTGCATTACAGGGTGAGACATCAGGAAATCGTAACATCCAGCCACTGAAGTCTGAATATAAGGTGGTAAATGATGAACAGACAATGTTTTAGTGCCTTTTTTTCGATAACTTAAAAGTCTTAAATTTGACTGTTATACTATTACAAAAACTATCTTTTTGTAAAACTGACAATGTTGATGCCTAATCATTCGATGTGTAATTTAGGGAGCAAACATAAAACTGTGATACTAGGTAAAATAATTTCTGGAAGAGTGCGGGTAAGAGTCATAAAAGGGTGAAGGGAAAGGTTTAAAAGGTGCACGGGTGCTCTGGTGTGGAGGGAGATCATTTCAGTGACACGTGGGTGCTTTGCCTGCTTAACCCCCTCTTCTCTTTAAATAAAAAGGTTAAATGACTTGAGAAAATACAGCCGCACGTAGGAGGAGTGGAGGTGTTAAACCTGGATGAGCGACAGACTAATATAAAAAAAGGAAATCGGTTTCTGAGAGATGTGCTCCGTCCTTCTAAATCTGAGTTCTTTCATTTCTTTCAAATTACACACTTGATGCTCATTATTCTGTTTCCAGTGTCCTGCTGCTGAGGTGGTTTCGCACTGCAGCCTAACGATTTCACACCTTTAAACAAGTCTGACGTCGCTGAAACATTCAGGCTATCAAATTGCGTCTCTCCTTTTCTTCTCCCATGAAGTCATGCCCGATTTGTTTCTCTTTACAGCTGCAGGTGTCTCCCCAATTTAAAGGATCAGACTGTGAAATATAGTTAAAACAACCAGCCCTGCTAAAGTGAACATTTCTCCAACTAATTGCACAAAAAGTGATCCGACCCTGCACAGTTGTCACGGCTCTGGTGACTCCTCCAGAGGCTGACTGGTGTCTGAGCAATCTGGACAACATCTCCTCCCACGCCCACTTACCCGCCCGCTCAAGGGGAAAAGGTCGGGAGTCGTCAGCGCCAACAACCGCTTCTTCTTCCGCGCCGCGGTGCGGGCCAAGTGTCAGCCGCTACTTAATGAAGAGATGGGCTCCATCGATTTTCAGTTTGAACTATCGATCCATCAATCTGCACCCGTGACGGGGCATCTGGAGCGGGATGGTGTCTTGTTAATAGATGCTATCACTCTCGAAGCAGGGTTTGAAATTGGTTGAGATAAGTCGAGATAAAAAGGGGGAGCAATAACAGATTGAGCGTTGCAAATGAATAAATTAGGTAGGCTGAGATTGGAAACAGAGGTTTGTTCTAGAAAAGGAAAAAAAAAAAAAAACCCGACGAGGGAGGTGTTGTTTGAGGCAATAAATCAGAGATCTGCTGTGACAGATCCGACTTTGTTTGGCCAGCTGACACAGAAAACTCTGTCACAGCTGCTGGAAATGCACCAAGCTAAACCTCTGTATTTGTTTGTTGGTTTTCACAGCAGTAGCAATGCGAGGATGATAA